ACATAGGGCCTCGCTGCACTACTCTTGAAATGCACAAAAGACAAAAATCATGTCGCTGTATCTTTCCATGTTCTAGCGGAAGATTCACTCTCGTTTTGCACCTTTCAAGAGTAGTGAAGCGAGGCCCATAACCTTTCCATGACAGCTTCAAGGAAACATTGACAACAGATGTCAGAAGTTGCTGACATGCCGGCAGGAAAGCAGTCTGTCTGACGTTCGGAGGGACACACTGTCAATTCAGTGTGTCCCTCACATACGTCCGTGCACATTGCACAACACGATACAATTCAGGGTTGCTTTTCTAACTCCGCGTCGCATCACCAGCGAGTATTTTCTGGTCGGCAAAAAGCTATGTAAAAAAAAACGCTTTTCATATACATAAGAGCACTGAAAGAGGCAAAAAAAAAAAAAAAAAGGGGGAAAAAAAAACCTTAAAAAAGAGAAAGACAAAAGGTACTGAGAGAGGGATAATCAGCCTCTGTGTGTGTGTGTGTGTGTGTGTGTGTGTGGTAAAGAGACTGAAATTGCAAGCATACCCATGAGTGGTGTGTCCCCCGTCTGACCTCCTTCCTCGTCTCCGTTACTGCAGACAGTTCATCGGTGCATTGAACATGGACAAAAACTAATTGAGCTAATCTCTCTGCACTGGGTTGGAATTCAGGATTGAGCTAATCACTACCGTCTTCCATCAAGTGGGATGGCGGCCAAGCTCGGGAAGGCGAAGAAGGCAACCAGGACGGCAACCGGGGGCCGATCAAAAAAGACTATCAGATCTGTTTCAGAGATTGGACAACGGTGGGCCAAGAGGTTCCGTTACGGCCACCATCGAATTTTCCCGATCCCTTTCCACCCCATCAGCTGGCTGTGGTGGACATGCAATGGTATGGAGCGGAGTAAGCAGGACTGCAACAGGTTATATGCAGGGGCGCCAGCATCAGACGTTCCCAGCTCCCCTCCATCCTTTTTCACATTCTCATTTGGAGGAAGGAACCAGTTTGTAGCAGCAGATATCTGGCGCCTGGCATGGGGCGAAGAGGTTCCTGTCCCGATACAACCTGCTCAGTTAATCCTCTGGACCCCGTAGTTAAGGGCCTCTCCTGGGTATGAAAGGCCTTAAACTACCGTCTTTACCCGAATAGGACGCCCGGTCATTATAGCCGTATCTGGACTGAAAATTGCACCAAATATGGCTATAATGACCGGGCGTTCTATTCGGGTGAAGACGGTAGTTTTTTTTGTTTTTTTTTAAACAACCCCTCCAGTGCTAGGGGTGCTGGTAAGAGCAGGCACCACTAGCACCTGGGGAAAGGCTCCATCTATTGGTGGGGACAATCACCTGCTGGAGAGCGGGTCCAGCGTCCCATATACAGAGTGAAAATACAGACTGAAGTAGAGAAAACCCTGCCAGCTTGGGTTGGACATTCAGGATAACCCCCCAAAGGTGGGAAATGTGCTAATGGTTCATGATGATGGGAATGGGAATGTTCTTATTTCCCCTATTTTCTCTTGGTTACAAGTTACAACTTATAATAATAATATTCTCCAAAGCATCCAACCACATGAAACCAAAAGGTATCAACCAGATCAAGCATTCAGAATGAGAGTATACTCACACTAGGCCCTCAAAATCTCAAAGTAGCAAAATCAGCGGCTGGATCGAGTCCTCACTTTACAAGGACTCCATCTGGCCGCTGATTTTGCTATTTGCCAATTTTCAGGGCCTCGTGTGAGTATGCCCCGAGGGTGATGGGAAGCAAGGAACAATGGATGGCTTTCAAACCGTCCTGTTCGATTGACAAACGAGCCTTGGATCCTGCCGCTCGGGCGTGGACTACCCGTATGTCCGGTCTGTGCATACTCTAACGGTTGGTTAAGTCCCACTTATCGGATGCCCAGGCCTAGACTAAATCTGAAGGATTAGATGGATGAGACATCTGAACATAGGCAGGGATGCGCTTAGATATTGATAATCTATCCAGCGGTTCAGACCCAATACATCTAAGCCACCAGCAAAAGTGGCTTCACTTCAATTCAACGGTGGCAGAATGACCATCGCTGCCTACTCACGAATGACTGGCTCATTCGTGGGTACTCCTTATAGCAGAGGGGGGGGGCTTGGCACTAGCTTGGTGCAAATGTTAGGCCTCCACTTTCCCCTCACGAAACATCCCGGAAACCATGGAGCATATCTTTCTTCAATGTCCAGGAGCAGTCTGGATGTGGAGGTGGTGGAATAGGATACAGGGTCAACTTTTTTTTTTTTTTTTTTTTTTTTTTTTTTGGGAAAATCAACTCAACACCTCACATCCCCGAAACCATGGAACATATCTTCCTTGAAGGTGTTTATCAAATGGGCCTTGGGATTGGAAAGCACTGCTATGCGAAACAAAGTAGGGAACGCCCATTGATAAACACCTTCACCTAGAATCTGGATAGAACTGGAAGAAGGGCGCAATCATTTGGCTTTATGGAGGCGACGTTGTACTTTTGAGATGGAAGGAGCAAGGGTAGATGGGGGTGCTGGTATCACCCTCCTCCCTAGAGGCAAAAAGGGTAGATGATCTGGAGTTTATTTACGGATTCAGTTAGACAGCAAATTCAAACAGACATCACAACCCATTGGGACAAGGATATCTGTCAACAAAAAAAAGAAATTCATCATCACACATTCAACAATTTTGTGGTTTCCCAACAAAAAAAAAAAAAAAAAACAAAAAAAAAAAAAAAAAAAAAAAGGTCCTCAGAAAAATATGAAAACAAGTATGTTAAAAAAAACAAAAAAAAAAAAAAACAATTCTGTGGTGACTGGCTTGGGGTTTTCCCGGAAATCGAGGCCCTGTCCAGTGTCCAATCATCCAATTTTGTTTTGTTCAGTAGCGCTAGCTTAATTCAAATTTCGTCACTTTCTAGTACCCATCGGCGCCGCCTTTCGGGGTTGGGCCCCTAAGGGGGGAAGCTGGGAGAAATTAAGTGGAAGGGGGCAAGGGGAGAAAATCAGGATGGAGGTCAGGAAGAGCTACGGACAGAGGGATTATCGCCTATGTTTCGAAGATTGGACAAGTCTAGATCCCACTACAACCCACTTGGCCCTCTCTCTGATTTCCCAGACCTATTCCCACCATCCATCCTCCTTGACTCTGGTGCCATTGAGTTGGTATGGGATGGACTAACGGAGGATTTTCAGGGTTTACACGAACGTGTTGTGGATTGCCCTTTTCTCTCAAGCTGGCTGCAGGTGATCTACCAGCGACTTATCTACAGATCAGGCACCCCACATTTGGGTGAAGAGGTAGGTTTAGGCAGTTCCCAGCAGGTATGAGCCTGAATGTGACTCGCTGCAGGCAAAATACTAGTTTTAGTTGCAAATCTGGCACCCCACAGTGGGGTGAAGAGGTATAACACAACCTCCACCCAAGATCCACAGACCAAATTATTCGAGAAAGGTAGGTAGAGTTCTTTTTCTGAACCTCTCTTCAGTGAGCCCCCCAGGTCCCCTGGGGTAGCCAATGCCAGCAGTAGAATCCACAAGGTCCACAGATTCTCTCTTTTTCTTTTTTTTTTCTTTTTTTTTTTCTTTTTTTTTTTTCACAGATACTCTCATTACTTCAATGTTACTTCAATGTTACTTCAATGTTTATTTTAACTTTATACTTGTATTCAAGGGGACGCTGGACCCGCTTTCCAGCAAGTGCAGCTCCCCACTTAGCCCACTAATAGACGGGAGCAACCAGAACCCTGACTAGGGGAGGTGGTGGCTCATATCACCTCCTCGAGTAATGGGGCTCATACCATTCAGGGAAAAAAAGAAAAAAAGAAAGAAAGAAAGAACGAAAGAAAAAAAAAGAAAGAAAGAAAGAAAGAAAGAAAGAATGATGGACGAGGAGGAGGCAGGTCATACGGAATGTCGAACAGTATCTTTTTTTTTTTTTTTTTTTTTTTTTTTTTAGGAACAACAACAACGACAATGTACACTCGCAGCAGAAGATGAATGAAGATAGATAGAGATCTCCTTCATCCACAAAAACGAACGAAAGAAAAAACTTAAAAAAAGAGCCTAGCAGTCCTTCCGGACATCCGTTAAAATGTGTTTTGCAACCACACGGAGACGATCAGCATGTCCTATGCACAGGCCTGAAGTGGACAAACAAAATGCTCCCTTGTGTCAAACATACCTAAATTGGAAAACCATAACAACATCAATGGAGCAACCGAGGGTCGCTGCTAATAACCTAATAAACAAATCACACATCTCTCAAATCTGCCCCTCAACCATCCTGGTTTGCAAATCTGCCCCTCCACAATCCTGGTTGCAAAAATTTGCCCCTCAACCATCCCCTGGTTGCAAAAAGCTGCCTTTGCCCCTCAACCATCCCCTGGTTGCAAATCCGCCTCGCCGCTCAACCATCCCAGTACCACTGGACTATGTCTATGTCTATGTCAGAATGTCTATGTCTATGTTGCGTCTACGTCTACTCGCGAAACAGAATGACAGTTGCTATTGTTCATGTGGTTGATCCTCTTTCTAACAAAATGCTAATAATAAAATAACGACCACCAGACTCCATACGTCTCATCGACAAGACAATACTGTCTGTATAGTATATCCATTCTGGATGAGGTCTGTTCCCACAGAAGGAGAATTTTCATCCCAGTTTGCTCAACAGCGGATAGTATCTGTAACCCGTCGCAACTGTCATCTACGGTGGGTGGGGGAGTGCGCATGAGGCGCCTAGCTTCTTCAGCACCTGGTTCCATCGCCACACCACTCTCGAAATGAGAAAAAGACAAAAATCTGGTGGGCGCATCTGGCCATGTTCTAGCAGTAAGTTCATTCTCATTGTGCAGATTTTGAGAGAGGTGTCGCAATGCCCTATGTCAGTTTCAACAACAGAAAAAAAAAAAGAGTCAGTATTTGTGATTGGTTGGCAACACTGAGAGTATAGTACTCGCACCAGGACGTTCTTCGACTACGCTCTAGAGTCTAGAGTCTATAGACTTAATTGCGGCCAGATGCATCCAGGAGGGGCCGTAATAGCGGTCAGATACCTCATTTACCCACACAGTGCGGTACCCACTTGGCTTATCGGAACTTTACCCACATAGCAATAATGTCTGTTTGTCTGGCCTTAAAAAAAAAGAAAAAAAAGAAAAAAAAAAGTCTGTTTGTCGGGCTAATCCATGGTGCGATAATGTCCGTCCGTCGAGTGTCCGCCTGGTTCACCCATAGGGTGAAAAGTTGAAAATGTATGGCCTGTTAACAGCGGGAAAATAGTAAAAAAAAATACCCATTTGCGCAAATGGATAAGGGCCTGCGCTCCACCATTCACGACATGCACAAAAGACAAAAACTTACGGTGGCGTATCTTTCCAAGTTCTGGCGGAATATTCAGTCTCATTTTGTACATTTGGCGAGCGGTGGAGCGAGGCCCAAGGTCAGTCTATGCAGTGGCGCATAAAAATGTCTGTCAAGTCCTATCAACAATTGTTGGTGATCCGTACCTGGATGATGTCAATCTCGTCTTGTTTACAGCCAGTGGGCGATGATCTCCGTCCAGCTTTGCTATGCGCGGCAATGTTTCGTCTTGGCCTAGTCACAGACGCACAAAGACAGACAAGTCCAGTATCATTCGGTTGAGAGGGTGTGGTGCTAGTAGCTTAATGCACCTACAGCTTCCAGGCTGGAGACAGGGATTTTTTTTACTTGGACTTGGTAGCTCTGCGTTTCGTAGACACATTGGCTTTCGATCGCTTGGCAGTTGCCGCATCCGGCTTTCCTCCCTTTTGACTTGCTCCTGATGCTGGAGGAGAACCCCCTCCCTTGGGCTTCTTTCTCCATCGTCCTCCCTTTCTTGGAGATCCCCCCTTTCGCCCTCCGCGACCAGTCTCCTGGAGCACAAGATGTGACAGTAGCCAATGACGAGCGTAGGAACACGCTGGTCAAAAAGACTCAAAAAAAATCTTGCGTGGGCCACGCGGCATATTATTCATTCACCAAGCACGCCTCCAATATGCGTTGGGTAGACAGCGCAATAAAGTCAAGAAACTGTTTTTTTTTTTTTTTTTTTTTTCCCCCTCAAATTTTTGACATTTCTGCAGCTTTAGTTTGACAGGTCTTCTTTTTTTTTTTTTTTCAAGTTTGGCATCTAGCACAACGTGGAGCAAAAGCGAACAAGAAAAAGAGAAATCCGCACTACCCCAGCGAAAGCGAAAGAAAGAGAATTGAAAATCACCATCAGCAAGTGGACACCGGGTCTGTTTCAGCGCAGACACAAAAACCCACACCCCACCACTCCACCCCTTTCCCCACTTCCCCACTTCCCCCCTTCCCTGAGAGCATATTACACCTTAAAAAGACCGAATTGGATTTTTGTCATGTTCTTTCTTTCTCGACGTACTGTATGAAAAAGAAAAGAAAAGAAAAGAAAAGAAAAGAAAAGAAAAGAGAAGAAAAGAGAAGAAAAGAGAAGATCGTTACAGAAATGGAGACCAATGCTTCAGAGAAGAGAAGATGGAAAGCAACAGTGCAGCTGAAAAGCTGTTTGCCGTCACGACCTGCTGTGAGGTGGGCTGCCAATGGTTTCCCCCACTCGGCTGGGCCATCAGTGCAAAAGGCCCTCCCAACACGTTCACTGGCTGGCGGAACTGCGCTGTTCTGCAGCAGAGGAGGGGAAATGCATCAGACTCGGGCAGACTTTTTTTTCTTTTTTTTTTCAGACTAACAATTGACCGGCGGCAGAAGCACAACCGAAAAAGAAAAGAAAAGAAAAGAAAAAAAGTTCACGCCCAAGAAAGACCGTGACAGGAAAGAGCCCTTTTACGAAGCCCGGCAGCCATGCAGAATTACGCTATATGACCCATATCATCCTATATGCCCATATAGCCCATCTGAGAAAAAGTGGGCAGCAGCAGTTCGCACAGATCCCATACATGGAGCACGTGAGCACCTTGAGTGAGGAGCATATGCCCTTGTGTGTGTCCGTAAACTGCCACCTCAACCTCAACAACCCCTTTTCCACCCAGATGAGTCGACCTAAAATCGAAACAGCTTTACCTTGGAATCTTCTACAACAAACAAAATGAAGCACACTGAAAGGTTGAAGCTTGAAAACGTTTTTTCCTTTTCTTTTATCACTGAAAATGTTGTATAACCTTTTCCTTTTCCTTGTCACCATTACAACCACTTTTCCATCCAGATGAGCAGACTCAAATGAGTCAAATCCGCTCCAGTCTGCTTGATGTTACTAGACTGCAGTCTGTCCAGGTTCAACCTCCTCCTGTGTGTGTGTGTGTTGTTTGTGTGTGTGTGAGTTGTCATATTCGCTATACACTCAAAAAAAGCATGACTGTACCGAATAGACTGTTTCGTCGGACTTTCACCGACTCATCAGGAGGTTGAACCCTGTCTCTTATACACATCTAGATGTGTATAAGAGACAGGTATAACCTTTTCCTTTTCCTTGTCACCATTACAACCACTTTTCCATCCAGATGAGCAGACTCAAATGAGTCAAATCCGCTCCAGTCTGCTTGATGTTACTAGACTGCAGTCTGTCCAGGTTCAACCTCCTCCTGTGTGTGTGTGTGTTGTTTGTGTGTGTGTGAGTTGTCATATTCGCTATACACTCAAAAAAAGCATGACTGTACCGAATAGACTGTTTCGTCGGACTTTCATCGACTCATCAGGAGGAGGTTGAACCTGGACAGACAGTCTGTCCAGGATGCATTTGACTGACTGATGGATAAGGACTCACCACATCGCCCAGAGTTAGCGATAGCCATCCCTGAGAGAGAAAAGTGGTCCCCACTTGACTCACACCAACCTAAGCTTGCAATCCTAGCAGGTCTGAACCTGGTGCAAACCCTTTACAAGAACGGTAGTAAGTCTGAGAAACTAAACTGACACAGTCATAAATTTGAACCCACTCTACACACCCACTCAGCCATGGACACCCAATGGCATGACTGCTAGTACGGTGCCAACCCTAGCCGCATCGATCCGCTGAACGGAGAGCTTAGCAAGGCCGTGCTGTGTGTTGTCATATTCGCTATACACTATAAAAAAAAAACGCATGACTGTGCCAAACAGACTGTTTCGTCGGACTTTCACCGACTCATCAGGAGGTTGAACCCCGACAGTCTGCCCAGGATGCATTTGACTGATGTGTGTTTGTGTGTGTGTGTGTGTGTGTGTGTGTGTGTGTGTGTGTGTGTTATAAAATATCACCACAACTTCCCCTATTCCACCCAGATGATCCATAGTCATATGTGTGTGTGTGTGTGTGTGTGTGTGTGTGTGTGTGTGTGTGTGTGTGTGTGTGTG